GCATCGTCATCATTATCATCATCAGCCTTATCATCGTCACCATCGTCATCAGCATCATCAGCATCATCATCATTATTGTTAGCATCATCATCATCACCACCATCAGCTTCATCATTATCATCATCAGCCCTATCATCGTCATCATCGTCATCAGCATCATCCTCATCCTCTTCATCATCAGCATCATCCTCACCATAATCATTATCAGCATCATCACCACCACCATCCGAATCGTCATCATTATCATCATCAGCCTTATCATCGTCATCGTCATCAGCATCATCATCATCATAATCATCAGCATCACCATCACCATCACCATTACCATTATCAGCATCATCATCACCATCATCATTGTCACCATTATCATCATCATCCGTATCATCGTCACCATCGTCATCAGCACCATCATCCTCATCATCCTTACCATCAGCATCATCACCGTCACCCTCATCATTATCAGCATCATCATCACCACCATCAGCATCGTCATCATTTTCACCATCAGCCTTATCATCGTCACCATCGCCATCATCGTCATCATCATCCGCATCATCATCATCTTTATCATCAGCATCATCATCACCATCACCTTCATCATTATCAACATCATCATCATCACCATCATCAGCATCATCATCACCATCACCACCATCATTATCAGCATCATCATCACCACCATCAGCATCATCATTATCATCATCAGCCTTATCATCGTCATCATCGCCATCAGCATCACCATATTCCTCATCATCATCATCAGCAACACCATCACCATCATCATTAGCAGCATCATCATCACCACCATCCGCATCGCCATCAGTATCTTCATCAGCCTTATCATCGCCATCATAGTCATCAGCATCACCATCATCCTCAACATCATCATCATCATCAGCATCATCATCACCATCATCATCATTATCATCATCACCATAACCACCATCAGCATCGTCATCATTTTCAGCATCAGCCCTACCATCGTCATCATCGTCATCAGCATCATCACCACCCTCCTCATAATTATCATTATCGTCAGCATCACCATCACCATCATCATTATCAGCACCAGCATCACCACCATCAGCATCGTCGTCATTATCCTCTTCAGCCTTATCATCGCCACCATCGTCATCAGCATCATCATCATCCTTATCATCATCATCATCCTCATCATCAGCATCATCATCACCATCACCATCACCATTTTCCGCATCATCATCACCACCATCAGCATCCTCATAATTATTATCATCAGCCTTATCATCGTCATCAGCATCATCATCATCCTCATCATCATCAGTATCATCAGCATCATCATCACCATCACCATCATCATTACCAGCATCATCATCACCACCATCAGCATCGTCATCATTATCATCGTCAGTCTCATCATCGTCATCATCGTCATAAGCATCCTCATCACCACCATCATCAGCATCACCATCATCATCATTATCGGCATCATCATCACCGCTATCAGCATCGGCATCATTATCATCATCAACCTTATCATCGTTACCATCGTCATCAGCATCATCATCGCCATCACCATCATCATTATCATCATCATCAGCATCACCATCACCCTCATCATTATCAGCATCATCATCACCACCATCAGCATCGTCATCCTTATCATCATCCGCCTTATCATCGTCATCATCGTCATCATCCTCACCATCCTCATCATCATCATCATCGCCATCAGCATCATCAGCATCACCATCATTATCAGTATCATCATCACCACCATCAGCATCGTCATCATTATCATCATCAGCCTTATCATCGCCACCATCGTCATCAGCATCATCATCATCCTCATCATCATCATCAGCTTTATCATCACCATCACCGTCATCATTATCAGCATCCTCATCACCACCATCAACATCGTCATCATTATCATCATCAGCCCTATCATCGTCATCATCGTCTTCAGCATTGTCATCACCACCATCATCATCATCGTTATCATCAGCATCATCATCACCATCATTATCATCATTTTCAGCATCATCATCACCACCATCAGCATCGTCATCAGCATCATCATCATCCTCATCATCATAATCATCATCATCACCATCACCATCATCATTGTCAGCATCATCGTCACCACCGTCAGCATCGTCATCATCATCATCAGCCTTATCATCGTCATCGTCGTGATCAGCATCATCATCATCATCATCAATTTCATCAGCATCATCATCACCATCACCATCATCATTATCAGCATCATCATCACCACCATCAGCATCGTCATCATCATCATCATCAGCCTTATCATCGTCATCATCATCACCACCATCCTCATCATCATCGGCATCATCAGCATCATCATTAACATCACCATCATCAGTACCAGCACCATCATCACCACCATCGGCATCGTCATCATTATCATCATCCGCTTTATCACCGTCATCATCGTCATCAGCATCATCATCCTCATCATCATCATCGTCATCATCATCACCATCATCGTCACCACCATCATCATCATCACCATCATCATCAACATCATCATCATCCCCCTCCTCCTAGGCGCCGGGGCCTCCCAGAAGGCCTCCGCGCGCGCCGTCCAGGCCTCGGCCTCGGCCCCCCGGCGGAAGCAGCGGGGCGGGGGCGCCGCGGCGGACGCCCGAAGGCACGGCGGCGCCTTGCGGCGGGACTCGCCCGTGGAACCCGCGGGGCTTTTGAGGTGCTCCCACGGCGCTCGCCTCCTCGGCCAAGCTCTCGCCTCCTCCTCCTCTCCTCATCCTCCTTTCCTCGTGCCGTGCCGCCATCCACGATTCCATCTCGCGGAGATGATGATAGCTCTGATTAGAGCACTTCGTATTGTACCGAGGTGGTCGTCACTTGGACGGCTGCCGAGTTGTGCTGGAGCGCTGCGGCTGTCTCAGCGACGGTCGCGGATGCTGCACCTGCTGTGCTGCTGTTGCGGTGCAGCATTCTCGCAGGAGGTTTGGCTTCTCGGTCCTTCCTCCCGCTGTCTCCATTCTTGCGTGCGGTGCTATCGACCCGACTGCACCGTGGCACGCTCGTTCGCTCGCCTGCCTTTCCACACGACGCACGCTGCATGTGCCCAGGCACGCCAGGGTCCAGAGGCCACGGCCTCACCCGCCTGGCCTGAGCCGGGCCCGCACGCCCGCACGCTTGTCCGCGGCGATGGTCGTCCGTTCCTCGAGCAAGCCTCGAGCGCATGCTGGCGGGGGCCTCCGCCAGCTCGGAATGCTTTGGGCCTCGTGGGCGGTCAGGGCTTCCGTGCTGCAGTGGGCCGCGCCGGCGCGCCGAGCGCCCCAGCGCGCGGCGCGGGGCCACCCCGCGGCGCGGCCGCGCCGCGGCGCTGGGCGTCGGCCCACTCCCGTCGGGGCAGCGTGAGACTCGAGGTCCCCGGGACTCGGGCTTGCCGACGCTTCTTGGCGGGCCCGTCCTGAATTCTGGCGCTGCAGTTTTCGTGGGATGGTTGCAGCGGGGGCCCGCGCCAAAGTTGAGGCCGGCTCTCGCCGTTTTTCCCGACGACCCCGAGTGGCCAACCCGAGTTCCCGAATCCGAGTCCTACGTCGCCCCAGCACCGAGTGGGGCGCCCCCAGAAGGGATCTGGCAGCCGAAGAACCCGCGGGGCAGCACGCAGGTAACTGCGGAGGGTATCGCCTTCGGCGGGAAGGATTTCGCGCCACGGCGGCCGCGCCAGCGTCCTTGGTCGCCGAGGCGATGCTCAGTGGCTCCACGCGGAGTGATGCGTGAGTGGGCGTGCCCAGTGGGATGGAGCTGCGGTCGCGCCGTCGGGGTTACGAAGGGGGGATCGCGAAAGAGGGGGTCGGCCATGTGGACTCTGGCGACCAGTTAGTTTCAACATCTCCTCACTGCCCCTCCTCCTTCCCCAGACTTGTGACATAGCGTCTGTTTCTCAGCAAGGTTGCCCAGAGGTCTGGACGTCTCCCCTGGGGCTAGACATTGGTTTGAGGGCCCGAGGACTCGGCGGGGACCCCCAGGAGTCCGCAAATTGTCAAAACCTCCCGCCGCTATGTTTTTTCCACACTCAGGCGAGGCAGGCCTGAACCTTCCGCGCGGCAGCTTGAGGCCGCCGCCGTCGAGGCCGTAGCGGCGGCCTCGGTGGCCACCGCGGCCGTACCGCGGCGTCACGCGCGGCAGGTGCTGAAGGTAGAGGTCGAGGGCCTCCTCATGACTCATAACTGCGGACTGCCTTGCCTGGCGGCTGAAGCCCTCGCCCCCGCAACCTCTCGTCCGAGCAGCAAGGCACCGGTGGCAGGGGGCGGGCGCTGTAAAAGGGGCCAGGGTCACAACCCAGAGGGGGGCTACCCCAGGGTTCCTCCCCCCCTCCCCCAGCGAATCCAGACCCCCGACGTCAGGGCTTTCGCGCAACGTCGACCCCCATCCCGCAGGACCAGGACCAGATGTTTGTCCCGAGGCGTCTGTTCGGCGGCCTCGGGGAGACCCCGGAGGCCGAGCGCAGCAGAAAGGCACTCGTCCTGCTCGTTTCACGTAGGCCCTGCCGCCGCTGGGGGTAAACCTGGTCTGAAGTCAGGCATGCCCCTCTACAGGGGAAAAATTCAAAAATGGTAAAACAATAGTCTGGGGACGACTTGTCTATGGTTTTTTATAACGATTTCGGATTTTTCAACAAACACACACAAAGCAAAACAAACAAACAAGCAAACAAAAGCACTTGTCCTCAAGAATGGGCCTGCAGGATGGCACCGAGCCAGGAGCGGACGCCCCTCCAGCTGCCCCGAGCGACGACCATGAATCGCGACGGGAGGAGGAGGAGGAGGAGGAGGAGGAGGAGGAGGAGGAGGAAGAAGAGGAGGAGGAGGAGGACCAGGAGGAGTATAAGGAGGAGGAGGAGGAGGAGGAGGAGGAGGAGGAGGAGCAGGAGCAGGAGCAGGAGCAGGAGCAGGAGCAGGAGCAGGAGCAGGAGCAGGAGCAGGAGATGGAGGGGGTCCGTGAATCGCACACCCCGCGAGGCGCCGCGGCGCTGGCGGCCCCGGAGCTCCGGGAGTGGCTGCAGCTCGCGCTGTCGGGCGAGCCGGGCCAGAGGTCCCTCGCGAGGGGGGGTGTCCCGACTGTCGATCGCGGGTCCGCCGTGGCGCGGGGCGCGAGGCCCTTCTGCAATGCCGAGGGGGGACGGGAGGAGGTGGAGGAGGACGAGGACGAGGACGAGGAGGAGGAGGAGGAGGACGAGGACGAGGAGGAGGGGGAGGAGGAGGAGGAGGAGGAGGAGGAGGAGGAGGAGGAGGAGGAGGAGAAGGAGGAGGAGGAGGAGGAGAAGAAGGGAGGAGAGAGTAGCGGGTAGATGAGAAGGGAGGGAGGACGGGGGATGATGAGCAGCAGGAGGAGGTGGAAGAGAAGGATGCGGAAGATGGTGATGATGCTGTTGACGACGACGACGACATGATGATGATGATGTTGATGTTTATGATGATGCTGATGTTTATGATGATGATGGTGATTGTGATGGTGATGATGATGATGCTGATGATGGTAATGATGATGCTACTGATGGTGATGATGATTGTGGTGATGAGGATGCTGATGACGATGATGGTGATGCTTATGATGAAACTGATGATGATGATGATGATCATCATGATGATCTTGATGATAATGATGATGATGATGATGAAGATGATGATGATGATGATGATGATGATGATGATGATGATGATGATGATGATGATGATGATGATGATGGTGGTGATGCTGATGATGAATCTGATGATGATGCTGCTGCTGATGCTGATGATTATTATGAGTATGATTATAATGGTGCTGGTGATGCTTATGAGATGCTGATGGTGATGCTTATGATGATGCTGGTGTTGATGGTGGTGGTAGTGCTGGTGATGATTATGATGGTTGTGGTGGTTGTGCTGATGATCATGATGATGATGAGCATGACGCTGATGATGATGATGATGATGATGATGATGATGATGATGATGATGATGTCGAGAATGCTTGTGATGTTGGTGGTGGTGCTACTGATGAAGATTATGACGATGGTGCTGACGATGAGGGTGATGGTAAGGACTACTATGATGTTGTTGGTGATGGTGATGGTGATGAGGGTGCTTGTGGTTATCAGGTTGTGATGGCGGCTATGATGGTTTTACCAACGATGATAGTGGTGGTAATGATGATGATGATGATGATGATGATGATGATGATGATGATGATGAGGATGAGGATGAGGATGAGGATGAGGATGAGGATGAGGATGAGGATGAAGCTGATGATGATGCTGATGTTGATGGTGATTGTAGTGACGGTGATGATTATGACGATGATGATGATGATGATGATGATGATGATGATGACGATGATGACTATTCTGATTATGGCGATTGTACTATTGTTGGCGATGGTGACGGTGGTGATGCTGATGATAGTGAATCTGATGATGCCGTTGGTTGCGTTGTTAGTGGTGGTGATGTTGTTGTTGATGATGGTGGTGGTGGTGGTGAATGAGGTGGTGCTGGCGAGGAGTAGAAGAAGGGAAGAGGACGAGGCGAAGGAGGAGGCGGCGGAGGAGGAGAAGGAAGAGGAAGAGGAGGTCAGCCTCGCTCGAGATCCTATCTATCTCCCCGTACAGCGCGGCCCGAACCAGGGGGGTGGTAAGCGTGCGCAGGGTCCTCCTCCCTCCTTACCTTCCCTCCAGTAATCCCTCTCTCCCTCCCCTTCTGCCTCTTCCTGGCTTTCCTCCCACCCTTCCCCGTCCCGCCCTCTCTCCCTTTCTCTCTTCCTCCTCGTCCTGCTCACTCGCCCTCTCCCTTCTCCTCCTCTTGAATTCCTCCCTGTCGCACCCCGAGGTCGGTCGAAAGGGCGGGCCGGGCGTTTCGCTTGAGACTACTGTACCAGTTGTGACCCTAAAGCTAAGAAGTTGGCAACAGTTTCACGGGTTGAGGGTGGGTGTTTTTCAAAATGTGGTTCTCGCGTGAGCGCCGCGTACAATCGTTTTAAGAATCCGGCTCCCCCCACCGGCATGTACGTTTAAGGGGTGGATGTTTATCCGTAAGGGCTTCGCCCCCTGCCGCCGGCCCCCCTCTCTATCATAATGGATATATCAGAGTCGCGTCGGTGCGTCTCGGCGCTGCCTTGGCGCATCTGGGAGCATCATGTGGGGGCGGATAGGAATCATCAGCGCATATTGAGACGTTGGCGTCATCCTAGTGGCTTTCGGCCCATCTTGCCACCGTGCCTGGGTCGTAGGTCTGAGGCCTCTCGTAGACGTGTTGGGGTGTCGTGGGGAGCCTCTCGGGGGCCTCTTGGAGGCGGTTTGGGCGCCTCTTGGGGGCCTCTTGGGGCCTCGTGGGGTATCTTTAGGGCCTCTTGGAGGCCTCTTGGGCACGTCTTGGGCGCCTCTTGGGGACTCTTGGGGCCTCTTGGGGCCTCCTGGGGGCTTCTCGGAGCGCTTCTTGGGCCATCTATCTTGTAGCCCTCTTGGGCCGTCTTGGGGCCCTCTTGGAGGCGTCTTGGCCTGTCTTGGGGCGGTCTGGGAATTTTTTGAGCTGTCCTGGAGCGTCGGAAAGCCGAAAATGCGAGAAGGCCAAAATCCCTCAAATACAAACGATTTGGGCCTCTTGGGGCTCTCTCGGGAGGCCTCTTGGAGCGCTCTTGAGGCCCTCTTGGGCCGTCTTGGAACCATCCTCGGGCATCTTGGAGCAGTCGAATACGGCGTAAGGTGCGATGGTTCATGGCCTCGGGGACGCGAGCATTGCGTAATTTACCCAGGTTTGGTGTCCCGGGGGCGCACGAACTGAGTAATTTGCAATGGTGTGTGGCCTCGGGGACGCGAATATTGTATAACTTCGAGGGTTTGTTGCCTCGGGGACGCAACAAACAAATATACAAAGGTTTGCGGCCTCGGGAACGCAAATATGGTTCAATCTGCGAGGGATTCCTGGCCTCGGGGGCGCGAATCTCATGTATTGTTACGTGTCCCACTCCCCCCGAGAATTCAGAGTACCCGATCCGAGGGTGGTAAGTTGCCGGTTTGAGGCTCCCCCCTCCTCGCGCGGACCTCAACAATTTACAGCAGGAAGCAGAGAGCAGGACTGTAACGTCGGAGATTTGAAATGCAATTGGCACAGGGAGCAACAACTTCGGCCTACAGCCTGGTGGCCCCACAAGGGGGCCGGCGGACTGTGCACGTAGTGTTTCGGTTCGCTGTGCCTTTGCAGAGCGGCATGCGTTTATTTGCCCCCGCGCGTCGCATGACAAAGTGCATCGCGTAAAACGAGGATCTCTTTTGCGTTTTTTCCCAGTCTTTCCCTGAAGATGTCGATGTACCTGGGCGCTCGAGGCGGAGCAGTCCACGTCGGACCTCCAGCTTTCGCGCCGCCTGCGAAATTATCCTTCCGCGGGTGGGATATATTCGTAGGTGGGTCTACCATCTGGCCTTTGCCGTGGAATAGTTATACCCCGCCCTCGCGGCGCCACAACAATAACTACATCGCGTTGGCCGGCATTTTTCGGGGCGCCGTTCCAGGCGGGCCCGCAGACCCCGACCAGTCGCAGGGGAGGGCAAGCGAGGGAGGGAAGGTAGAGGGAGGGCAGGAGGGCGCAGGGTGCCGTCGGGCAACTCGCAGGGCTCGTTCAAGGGGCCCCATTGAGCGCCTCGAGCTGAGTCAGCTTCGGTATTAGAAACGCGGACGGACCCAGTCATTTTCAGCTCTTGTGGCCCCAGTGGGGGCGGGGCGTAATTAGCCGGCCTTTAAAAATGGCCAGAGTCTCACGGATTGAGAGCAGTTGGTTCTCAACATGTGGCTCTCGCTTTTACGCCGCGCAGATTCGCTTCAACAAAAATGCAAGAGCTTCACGGATTGAGGGCGGGTGGTTTTCAGAATGTGGTTCTCGTTTTAGCGCCGCGCACATTCGTTTCAAACATTTGCCAGTTCACGCATGGAGGGCGGGTAGTTTTCAAATTGTGGTTCTCGCCTTAGCGCCGCGCACACTTATTCCAAACATTTGCAACCTATCGTTGATTTATGCTGGCTTTTCAAAATGTGGCTCTCGCCATAGCGCCGCGCACATTCGTTTCAAAAGCAAATTCGCAGAGTTTCGCGGATTCCCATGGTCAACGTGGCAGAAATGGTGTTTTGGAAGAGCTCAGGGATGCGAGGACGCAACAATTACATCGATTCGCGGTGTTGAAGTCCCAGGAACATCGTTTTGGCACGATTCAGGATCTTTAGGACGCAACAGTAATGTTGATTCGCGGCGTTGGATTCCCGAGACTGGTGTTTTGGCACGCTTCCGGGTCTTCAGACGGATGCCCCCCCAACGAGGCAGTTCCCGCAGTGGAAGTGACACCGTGGAAGGGGCCTATCAAGAGGGAGCTTGGAGGGAGGGTTTATTCCATCATCGTTGATGGGTCTTGGAGTTTCATTGGTCCTCCTCCTTCTCCTCCTCCTCCTCCTCATCCACCTCCTTCTCTCCTCCGTATCCGTTTTGGCTCAAGGTCAAACGGCGATTCCCGGACTGCCTATGCGGGGTAGGCTCCTTCTAGCGCCAAAGCTGTGCAGCTACCACGAGGGGCGAGCGGCAGCCCATCCGCTCACTCCACATCCATCCCGCTACTGTGGGTCTCCTGGCTGCGAAGAGCCCCAGCTGCCATGCCTGCTCAGGGCTTGCGCGGGAGGAGGAGGAGCAGGATGAGGAGGAGGAGGAGGAGGAGGAGGAGGAGGAGGGAGGAGGAGGATGAGGAGGAGGAGGAGGGAGGAGGATAGGGGTGGAGGAGGAGGAGGAGGAGGAGGAGGAGGCTCTACCTCCCCGATGCGAAGGAGGGCGGCGCCGCCACAAAAGCAGCCTTGCCGCAGCCCCGAGTGCGGGCACGCGGCGCACCAGCAATCCCCGGGCCCGACGAGGTATCGAGGAAGGCGGCAGGCCGCTGCTGCAACGCGGTCTGAGGGCCAGCCACGCAGGCCAAGGCTGGGTAGGCACCAGCGCGGAGCACGACCTGCAC